GTCCCCTTTTAACACAGGGTCTCACTATGTAGCTCAGGCTGGCCTCGAACTCACAGTGATCCCCTGCCTCATTCTCCTGTGTGCTGGGATCATGGGTGAGCGCCACCATGCTTGGCTCTTTTCCCTTTTATAAAGTCATTGATTATTGCATTGCAGTTAATCCAGATTGATCTCACTTCAAGATCTTTAACTGTTTATGTCAGTAAAGACCATTTTTTTCCAAATAAAAGTCAGCATTAAAAAAAAGAAGAAAGAAAGAAAGAGAGGGAAAGAGGAGAGAGAGAAAGAGAAGAAAGAAAGAAAGAAAGAAAGAAAGAAAGAAAGAAAGAAAGAAAGAAAGAAAGAAAGAAAAAGAAAATGAGAGAAAGAAAGAAAGGAAGGAAGGAAGGAAGAGAGAGAGAGAAAGGAGTCTTGGGCATTCCAGGGGGTGCAGCGTTCAAGGGACGGACGGCCTTGAGCGCTCATACCCAGCCCAGGTGCTGAGGCAGGAATGAGTGAAGGGCTAAGGAGCTGTTCTTGATGTCTCATGTCCTTGTGGGTGGTGGCCCAAGAAGCAGTTAAACCAAGCACTAGATTATCAGAATAGAAGGGGGTGGAAACAAGGGGACACTTGCCTAGCAGGGGTGAGACCTTGGGTTCCACCCCCAACATAGTGCAGAACCCCAGCTTCACCTCCTGGCCTTCCCTTGACCCGCTTTAGGCTGTTGGGAGAAGAGGGGCTGGTTGTGGCGGGCAGCCGCGCCAGGCAGCAGCTTGCCCTTGAGGTAGCTCCTGGTGTCAGGAGCGAACAGCAGACTTCAAGCCCAGAGATCTGGTTGCAGGGCTGGGCCGGTCACCAGGCCTTGCTGTCCTCCCTGGTGAAATAAAGGAGCTGGATATGTAGAAGGTTTTGCGCAGAGGACTCAGGTACTAAAAGAAACATTTACTAGAGGTAGCAAAGGTCTCAGACCACTGCCTCTGTCCCCAGCTCTGACTTCTTCCTGCATAGGGTGATGCCGAGGTCCTTGGGGTGGGACTGGGCCTGGGTCTTTTGACAGAGAGGCCAGGGTGGGGAGTGGGGCCGACCACAACCTGACGAAGGGCCGTGCTGGCTGGGGCGGGAGTGACATGCTCTGCAACTGGAGAGCATCCCTGTATGGATTTCTTCAGTACTGGGGGTTGAAGCCAGGGTCTGCTGTATGCTAAGCACACACTCCATTTTTCTCTCTCTCTCTCTTTTTTTTTTTTTTTTTTTTTTTTTTTTTGGTGTTTTTGAGACAGGGTCTTGCTATGCAGTTCAGGCTGACCTTGAGCTCACTTTGTAGCCCAGGCTG